CACCGTTCACCGATGAAATAGTCGATTCCAATCGAAATGTATCGCGCATCGCCGTCGTAGAATCAATAGGATTTAAAGTAACACCGGACCGACCATTTTTCCTAAATTCCACGCTCATTTTTCAAACTCGTAACCTCGCTTTCTATCTCGGAAATCTGCAAATTTCGCGATTCCAGTATGCGCGTACGCGCCTATGAAGATTCCAACGAGCACCGTGAGATATCGAAATCTCGGTGCCCCGCGCGAGACGCGAAACGGCCGCGTAATTGCGCTAATTAAAATCGAAAATCGATGCGAACGTCGACGCGACGATTTAAGGAAATCACCGCGAATCTTCCAGTTTCTTTCCCCTGGATAGCGACACGTAAACGAATTACTGCTATAAGCACGGATAACCGCGATAAGGTTGATACAGTTACCTCGTTACCCTTCTATCGTAATCGTAATAAAACCTCCACTGTTCTCGAACTTTGCTCCCTGTAACTACGTTAATTGGCCTCTGAACAGGCTGCACGGTCTGCATGACCCAAGGAACTAACGGGTGTCTACTTTTTACCCGCTTCGATTCCACCACGAACCCCCCCGTTTTACACGATCGCGTTCCCGGATCGCTCTTTCGCCTTTGCCTGAAGCTCGCACCGATGGACACCAAGGGGACACCGGGAAAAGGAATATTCTCTTCAAATTTCATGCGAACGGAGAGAAATCGGAAGAATCGGTGAGTATTCGCGCGTTGTCAACGTGGAACACGGCGTCCTAAATAGCACCGACGAGGACACGCGAGGTAAAAGCCTTTTCATTGGTAGGTTTTTTCAGGACGAGCAGTTGGAACGACGCGGTTTGGTCCTTACCGAAATCGAATGTCGTCGTTAGCAGGGTAATTAGATCATCGAATGGCAATCGTCGGCACGCGTTATCCCCCGCCGCGTCACGGTATCCCGCGTGATTATGCATTTCCACGTCGGCTATCGTAATATGCAATTAGTCGCATGGCGTAATAATGCGTTTCCTTATTTACATCCCGCCGGAACTGGGTAGAGAGTGTAGGAAGAAGAGCGGCGGAAAAGAAGCGACTGGCGTGCAACGAATTCAATTATAGCTATATCTCAGCCATCCAAAGTAATCTTGGAAATAGGGGGACTTTGAGGAAACTCGTTACAACTGCTCGCACTTTGTCGTGGTCGTGGTCGTTGCTCGTCGACAGCGTTGCGCCGACTCGAAAGCATTGGCGGACGCTCGTTTCTTATCCCAAGAGAAAAAGGACCCGAGTCCCTTGGTTCCATTTCGGTTAGCCCCGCGTTGCCGATATCCGTTAAAACAGCGGCCCGATGGATACACGTGTACGCTCAGGCCGATAGAGAGAACGCCGCCGGTGATTCTAAGTAGCCGAGAATTTGTCCGCGGTATTAATAGCGTTCGCAACTATTCGTATTATTTTGGTTACGTAACGGCGTATGCTAATAAATACGCGGCGAGACATTTCGTATCGCCGTTAAGCATAACAGGCACTCGCTTACGAATTAACTGGTCGATCGGTAATTATTACCGCTCGCTAATTTGCATTCGATTGCGCAATCCGTATAATATACGAACCAGCCTATCGCTATAGGTGCGCGCGATATAGTACGCGCACGCTAAACGGAATCCGGCAAATCGGAAGAATCGACAGAGGAATCGAAGGAGGGAGCGAGACGCGTATACCGTGGATGGACGGATAGATAGGAAGCGCGAGAAAGAGAAGAACAGAGAGGGAACCGCTGGCAGCGGCAACGAAGAAGAACGTCCCCTCGCCTATCTTCCCCCATGGTGGCCACGAGTGCTCGCATTTCGTCGTCGTGTTCGGCGTCGTCGTTGCGCGCCGGCTCGAAAGTATCGGAGGACAGTCGTTTCCCATCCAGAGAAAGAGAGGAGTCGTTGGTTCGGTCGCGTACCTCGCGAACCACGACGCGTAAAGAAAGAAGAAAAGGAAAAGGGGGAGCGACAAAGAGAGCGCGCGCGAGAGAGAGAGAGAGAGAGAGAGAGAGAGAGTGAGAGAGAGGGAGTGAGAGAAAGGTAGAGAGAACGCGAAGGAGAAAGAGAAAGAGCGAGCAAGAGACACGTTGCGAGGGCGAAAGGGAAGAGAGGGGTTCCCCGATGCTGTAAGACGATGGAAGGGATACCGGGCGGGGGGCGAGGGCACGAGAAGGGAGCAGCGACGGCGAGGAAGGGGTGCGATGGCAGAGGGGAACGGTGGGCCGGAGGAAACGAGCGGTGGAAGGGAAAAAAGGCACGTCGTCCGAGTGGATGCGATACGCGCCGGAGATCGTACGCAATGCCTGTGGCTATCTAGCTTAACTCGTGAAAGCCTAACGAACGTTCTCCTCTTACCGACTACGTGAATTTCTGTCGTGCGCGCGTAAGCCTTCTCCTGCGCGGCCAGACACCTGCGCGAGATAATGTCTCGTAATAGCTTCTGCGCCAACCTCGCCACCAACCACGGTCCATAATCTTCGGTAGTTTTCGAGCGACCGGGTAAGATCGAAAAGCGTACCGGAAGAATCGGATCTCCGTGATTTATACGCGCGCGCGCGAGATCCTACACTCGGTTCCGGTATTTTTCTATGTACACGTACACGCGTACGTGCCTGTGCATGTTTACGGGCAAAACTTCTCCCCGGTTCACGAGGCTCGTAAATACGAGATTTATAGTCGAGCGGAAAGTAAATATTTTCGGGAATAAGGAGGCATTAAGATTTGATAACTTGCAAAGAGACGCGTACCGGCGAACACGTGTGTACGCGTATACCTACGCGTATACGTACGCGTATACGCACGCGTTCATCGCACTCCGACGTTACGTCACGCGCGCGCGCGTAATACGCAGGAAAATTGCGTTAAGGATTAGCGAACATTGATCCCTTTGAGAGCGACGCGAATATATTTATTGTAACCTTGACACAGTTCCGGGGGCCGCCTCTTCCTAGTTTCGAGGGATTCTCATACTTCCAAGTTCACCTTCGAATCGTGCAACAAGACAGTTTTATCGCTAATGCGCTCTGCACCTTGAAACATATGTTTCACGGAATTCTGCCGTACCGAGGCTATATACATATCGATGCCGGCTAACATTGTAATACGATACACGATGATATTTCATCTACTTTACGGGCAGCGTGTGTACGTGTACGTACGAAAGCTGGTGGAATACACGGAACGAGCCAAGTACGGAAAGATAGATGGAATCCGTGTTGATCAACCGGCTCGTGGAACCGTGTTAAAGCGCCGACCTCTTCGGAATTATCGCGTTTCCGTTTTTAAATATCCACCCAGCTATCGGATAATTTATTTTCCAATAGCCCAACGACGAGCGATCGCGTACTTACGTACGTACGTACCCGCGAAATCGAAAACGGGGCACGTTCAAACGAAATTTACGACCGCGTATGTACGTACATACGTACGTGCATATATATCGCGGCGTGCCTAGGGAAGCCGAAAAGAGGAAGAAGCGATACGTGTCTGTGGCGGTGGTGACGACGGTGGTAGCTACGATGGCTTGCAATTTACAGCGGCGCAAAACGATTTCGAGGCGAGGAGCCACGTTGCCGTGGCTGCGTATGGATCGAGCTTTAGAGGCGGACGGTCTCGCGGATCTCTTTGTGCAACACGAGGGCCGCAGGGCCATCTTCTTTCTCCTCTCTGGACGGCCTCTGATACCTACTCCCCTCCCTCTTTCCCGCTTTCACATCTTCCTTCTTCTTCAACAGCGGCAGCGGCAGCGGCGGCGGTGGCGGCGGCGGCAGCAGCAGCGGCAGCAGCAGCGTCTCCTCTGACGCCGCTCCACTGTCCTCGCGACGAGTCATCTCGTTTAGGTCGTGCAAGCCGGCAGGGGGAACGAGGAGGACTCGATGGCGCGCGGAGACGTCGGGTGGCGGTGGTACGGCGGGGAGGGGGATCGCTAGCTGTGGCGTTGCGAAGAGGGGCGGGAAGGGCCGGTGAGCCAAGGAACGAGGAGAGGAATCGAGAAGAGAGGCGACAGGGTCGAGGGAGAGTAGCTACGGAACAGAAGGATATATGGCTGTGTATTATGTACTCGGGACCCGTGTTACATACGCCTCCGTTCCTCCGCGTATACGTAAGCGAGCAGGTGTGCGTTTCCTTGTGTACGTTCGGCGGTCCGGTGTGTTTGTCGATGGGCGCGCGCGCGTCCCCGTGTCCTGGCGCGATGCACCAAGGTGTGTGCGAGCAGAGGCTCACTTCTCACGCGAGTCTCTAACCAGCTCGCATCGAAGATGCGGAGAACATGGAATCACGCGACTCGCGTAAAAAATGATCCTGCGATCCTGTAGCGAGGGAGGGACCGAGGGGTAGAGGGAGAGGATGGCGTTGCGCGGCGAAAGATGGGATAATGGCACACCGAATGGATGAACGCGCGCAAGAGTGGAGATTCGTGCTGTGTTCGTGGGTGGAGTAGAGCGGAGAACAGTGCCAGACAAATTGCAACTGATAATTATCGTCAGTGCCGGACGGGGATATCGGAGTAGGGTCGCCGGCAGATAGAATGACCAATTTTTGACAGGTACAGCAAGAGGGGTTGGGTCGGAGGGAATAGCTCGAAAGTGCTTGATTCGATTGAATGACCGGTAGATTGATGGCTTTCTGAAGTAAAAAGTTATTCAACGATTTATTAGACGCGCGGTTAACGATCGGGATATCGAGAACGGTAAATGTGGCATTAATGCGGAAATTACGAGGATCTTAATTACGCGATATTTCTTTCAACCGTGTATCCTTCGATACATCTATATTGCTTGTATATTTTCCGAGAAACATCTTGTTCGTTACGCATTTGTCGGAATGACAGTTTTCTTTCGCTTCTAAAACGCTCGATCGTGAATTAAGTGAAAAGTGGACGCATTGTTGACAATATTATGAATTATGAATTATTTGACGGCATTCCAAGTGTACGGTAAATCGGACTCATGATTTATAGCTCGGGATAATATTCGATCAATCATAAGTTACCGCTTAAATGTATAATTAAAGCTATGTGACTTACAGCGAACTCTAGTGATCGAAATCATTAATATACGTTTCATTCGGCGCGCTCAGTGGTATCGACCAAAGGTAATACAAATCTTCATAGCATTCGAGTAATGGGTGGTACGAGTAAAATAATTTTATATTTATTATGCTCCATTCGTAATGGAAATAAACATTCAAATTTTGACGGTCAATTTTAATTAAATGCTAATTTGTTAAAAGGCAATTCGATGTTAAATTTTATATCCGATATTTCGATTGTTCCTATTTATTGATAATTTTATATCTATTAATCACTCTCGAACCACCGCTTTACACATGAAATACAATTTTACGAAATTTTTCGAAATTCCTAATGCTTTCATTGCGAAAATTATATTGCTATATTTTTGGGTATAAACTAAGCTGCGCTTGTTTTCTACCGAAGGCCAAGTATGACACTATTGGGTAATTCTCAACTAACCAATAACTCAGCCCAAGCATACAATTATATATCATCCTTATGACCCACCCGATATATGCGTAATCTGAAAAAGAAACGAAATTTAGCGATGTTTATGAGTGAATTTATCGAATAGATGCACATCGCGATGTTGCTATCTTATCCTTCTAACCAAAAGTAATCACTTACTGCATATGTATAACATGGCTTCGCGTTGCTTTAGATTCAAATAGGCGTACCATCCGAGAGGTTTCTTATCTAAAATAATTAACTCACAGTTATACGCGAATAAAAATAAAGGAAAATACCGAATACCTGTTTTTAACTAACATTTTAATCCCGTTATGTCGTATGTGAAGTGCATAAAGGCGTCTTCGTTGATTGAGAAATCGACGTACCACAATCCATTAGTTATATTGGACATCAAGTCTAGAAATTCCTGGCGCGGTTCTTCCAGGTGTTTTGCCAATATCTCTTTTCGTATTCTTCTACACAGTTCCACAGTTTCCGACACTGTCTTTCTGCAAATATTTATCCTAGAAAAAATGAATCGATAATTGAAACTGCTTGACAAATAATCAAATTAGAAATGAAATTTCATACTTTGCATAAATCTGTTTCTATATTTTTCATGTTACTACCTATCCGATATACCCAGTAAGTGTCCCGTGACCTGCCAAAAATGATTGAATCCTTCTTTCTCTTCTCGCGTACCATAGACTAATCCCACTCGCTCGGGACATATAAAGATGAACCCTATGAAACCGAATTGCGTGATCGCCATGTCCTTTTGATATATACCATGAAGACCCTGTTCAACACGTCTCTTGCTGACGTTCGCGTGTCTCCATCGAATCACGTTCAGCGCCTTGAACCACCTTGAATGTCGCAAGCAGATTTACCATGACCGGTTCCATGGGATACTTTTACGGGATATTTAATGGGATGTTCTGAAACTTACTTCGAATTCGGGTCGAGCATGTCCGAATAAAAGAGTGCATACATGAGCAACAACGTTTCGGTGAATCGCTTGTAAGCTAGGTTTATCGTGCTACTCCGTTTCGTGTACAGGAGAACCTAAAAAGTAAAACATTTATTTATTTCGTTATCCAAATTCCATCTTTGTTCACACTTTATACGAATACAATAACTTCTGTGGAATACGCTATACTTTTCATTAATCTCGTTCTTCAAGGCGATTCTAAAAGTACCGATATCTTATGCTTTCATAGAAATAGCCTTTAGTAGGTGTACGTTAAAACCGTACGATTTACGAATAAGTTTTCTTGATTCTACCTTTCGTGCTATTAATTTAACAGGGATTAATTGATTATCCGGTTGAATGAAAACACGTTATTACCTCCAGTATGTCTGGAACGGACATTATTGCTGTTAGACCTGTTATATGTGCAACCCCGAATCCTAGTAAGTTTCCCATGTAATACTCCTGGCCTCTAAAATTATTAACCGATTATTCATGTATTTCCAGTGTTTGACGGAAACGAAGTTTTCCATTGCGAAAATAAATCATGCAAATTTTTTTTTTTCATTTGTACTCACTTCTTGAATAAATATTCATCAAACCATTCTGGTAAATCAGCCGATGTTACCTTCGAGAACTCTGAGTCAATCACGTCTCTATCCTCCAAGATTAATTGAAAATGCTCGTCGACAGTGGCTGGTTGAACTGGAAATATAATATTTATCATAAGCTCACCGTCACAGTTATGAATATATTTACGAAACTCGTTTTTTAATATAACGCGACAAGACGATACGGTATCATAAGGTGTATCACATAAGTGATTAACTCCAAAAAATTTTTTTTCCATTTCGGTGTCAAATCGCTCGACCGATAAATAACATTTTATATTTAAAACACTGTTCCACTTTCTGAACATTTAAATTTAATCGATTTGACACGGAAATGGCTGATATCAGATAACAGGTAAGAATTCTCGCTTGTAAGATAGCACACGTTCTATTTTCGTACGCTACGTTTCGTATAAATGAAAGGCAGGAAATTATTTGCACAAAATATTTACCATCGCTGATGTGTTTCTTATGCGTCATGGTACCTCGATAAATCCAGTTCCCTAGCTGTATCTTCAATGGCGCAATATCCACGACTCGGATCAACGTTAAAAATCTGCGAAAAAGTTGATCGTAACGCTTTATCCTTTCTTCCCTCGCTGTAATGATTCACAACAGTTTCTTTTCCACTGAAACACAACCGTCTAATCTCGTTTGATCGAGTTTGATCCGATAGCAATGAAAATTATCTACTGCTCCTTACCGCTCTACGCTTGTAGGCCAACTGGACTTCAACGTTGATCGAGTGTCGTTAAATCCACTTGCCAGTTTTCTCCCACACTGCATGCATCGCTATTGCTAGTTGGCGTGCACAGTCTGGATCTACGTTTACGATCACTCTATGGTTACCGCCGAAACAGTGTGGTCATAAATTAACGCATCGATCTGCGATACCGATTGATGCTCCACAGTTCGGAACGGCGTGTGCGTTGCAGGTGCTCGATTTCGAGCAATAATGCGAGAAAGGCTGCCAATCGTTAATTACATCTCGTTCATTACCAAGGTAATTGAAAGTTCTATTTAATGCTTGGAATATTTCGAAGAATTTCAACCTTCCATAGCGAATTAACGACGGGTAAGGAAAGCGAAGAAGAGTAAATCGATAGATAAGCTCCCCTAACTTTACGATCACGCTACGTTTTTAACTACATACTCTGTATCATATATCTCAAAGCGTTCAGTATTCCTCGGTTGACGGTATAATGGCGAATGGTGGACAGCAGGCTGCATCGCAAGGTCACTCTTTACCACTTTCTAAATTCCAGTTTTCGAGGTGTCCTTAAGGTTACGTATAAAGAGTGAAATTGCACGATTCGGCGAAAAGTGTCCACCGTGAACAACAACCATAATTTTCGAGAGCTTGTTCAACGAACGATTAAAAGTTTACGCTTAAGACTGTGTTTGTTTCTACACGGATGGATCGGTTATCGGATTTTTAACGGATATGCTGATCCGAATTACGATTCTCGAGTCTCCAATGAATCCGAGTGGTTCGTTCGTGCGTTTCGTGCATTTTATGTATTCGTTTCGTCATCTTTTTATCGACATTCCGAAGATCGCGAACTGGGACTACTTTAGCAGCACATTTTCATTCCAAACGAAATACCAGGAATTATATCATTATTGTCAAGTTAGCGAGTAGCAGCGAAAAACCAGCGCCTAGCGTCGTCAATCCAAGAACTGGCTACGTCTCCGTCCAACCCGACATGCTCTACGAGAACCTCGTGAAGATTATTATTGTCCCGCCCGCGAATAACATTATATGCCGTATTACATGACGCGTAAGCCAAATAATTATACCTGTTTCCTTCGACCTTCGTCGTGTATGTGGAACAAGAGAAAAAATAGAATAGAATACATAATCCTGTAAAGAAGTACTATATTAACCTGTATTTACCCTTTGCACTCGACGATTTTGTCATTACAGGAAAATAGTAATTCGAGGACTTCCTCCAATAAAGTCGACGATATTTCTAAACCGGCAAATAAGGAATCGTATGCAAATTAAGATGAAAAATTATTTGACTTCGATATTCCAGGTATCATTGAGTAATTGTAAATTTGTAATATTAATTAACATCCATCTGTAGAATCTGATTAAATGGCGACTGAGAGGCGTCTCTCGAGTCCAAAGGGTTAATATGTTTAATCGTTACACCATTCAGAGATGTTATCTACACGTTTGCAATGACTGTCATTTATCTTGTTTACAGGCTTCTGGATCTAACGCTGAACCGGGAAGATTATGGAACTGTCTTTCCTCGTCGATCTGTAATTTGGCATAGATTAGAAATCAATGGAATATTTATCTGCACGTTACATCTACTTATTTTAGATACCTTTACATCTTCCTTCTATGAGTGATTGACACCGACTGGCCGGAACAAAATAGGTGTCCATGATCTTGCACGATGCACGCTTTCAATTGCGTGTTATTTTCTGTGTAACGATACCTGCTCGATATATAATTATGCCGCACGCGGATCCTAGTTGAATCGATCACGTTTGTATTTTTCTTCTTCTCTATGTCTATAGGAATCTAAAAGATTGGCAATTTTCGTCGTAATGATATACAGTTAGATGAAAGAAATGGTGAAATGGAGGTGACCTCTCGGATTTTCCCCATGTCGAATTTGCCCCGAGAAACTGCTCGAGGGTACTCGATCTTGTAAACACGTTCCATAAAGCAATCGTTCCTTTCGTTTGATGATTAGAAGTTCCGATTCTCTGCTACCTGCTTTCGTATTCAGAGCTCGCCAGTCCGGCAGCAAGGCTACTACAATGACCGTAATTATCAGCCAGTCCGCCAGGGAAGTATCTGTAATCTGTTGGTTACGACAGTTTTCGACACCGAGCTGCTCAGCAGACAACCGATTAGACCGATTAGATCGATCAGGGTAATTAGAAAATTCCGATATCCTGAAAGGTATGCATTAGGATGTCCTCAAGATTCCAATCACGTTCGCTGTCTAGATTCTCCAGTATTATTCTTATCTCGTGTTGTTAGGAAGCACGTCATAGGAGGAAGAATACTGCGTAGTCTCTCACGTTTTAGAAATTTCGGATGAATCCAGGCACGAATGTAAGTGTAGAAGCAGTGCCAGAACAGTGCAGGCAGGAGCAAGCACCAATCTTGCTACGAAAATGGTTTAGTGAGTGCTCAGAAGCTCGAGATTCGTCGACGACGAGGTACCAAGAAATGGATGCGTAGTAGATACTATGGCAAGTATAGTTGCACGAATGTATCGTGATTCAGTATCATCCAAGTGCTAGAGAACACCGTGTCTACCTGCAGATGAGAGGTAAGGTTATAAAAAGATCGTTTTAATTTGCTTTTAAGAAGAAATTGGCGTATCTATCTTTTATGTACCATTTGCATTATGGTACATCGAAACTCAACAGGTTGTTGCAATTTTTATTCCCACTGATACCTAAAAGAAATTTCGGTGATTAATAAAGAAATCAACGACCCTACTGGCATGATCATTAAACAAAGGCATGTTTCGTTTGAAACTAAAACAGAGGAACGAAGTTAGAGACAGTTCTGAAAATTAGCGTGTAAATCAAAGGGAGTTTCGAATCTTAATAGAACTATTAGAACTCTCTCGAATCGCTCGTTTCACGAAACAAAGGGGAATGAGAACCTAATATACACGCATCCCACGATGTCCCACGATGCCCCACGTTGCCCCGTGCGGGGGGCAAATAAAGTGGTACTCGCAATTCCAATCTAGCCTTCGAGGTACCAGAAGGTAGCCTTTCAGAGGGCAAACTGAAATCGTGAGTACTGCGTAGCTCTTAGCTTGGCATCGTTTGTCAAAGACGAACTTATAGAATATTCCGAAAATTACTAGATGAAATTTATTCAAACGAATATGGAAATATTTCTTTGACAAACGATGCCAATTACCAGGTCTCACCGCGTGGAGGTGGCTACGCAATCGAAACCCGTGCCTGTCAATGAAACAACGAGAACATTGTTTAAATATAGTACAAAATATTGTAGGATACCAAAATAAATCGCGAATCGACTATTGCCAATAAAAACAAATAGTAAACCGATCTATATCTTCTAGAAGCAAATCGAAAAATTATTCTATATAACAAAATTAAGTTGCGTGACTCCTCTACAGGAAGGAGAAACGTGGGTTAAGGAGAGCATAAAAGCGTGGTCCTTGACAACCAAAACAGGGTCCTTGGAAATCGGTTACGACCAGCACAAGCGTGAATCGTTTGGTGTTGGAAAGAGAGTTTTAAAAGAGTGCGTCTTTGTGTGTTTCGTTATCTTGGTGTTCTTTCCCTAAGTTAAATCAGTTTACGAGTTTCGAGTTTGTGTTATTGTGTTCTTGTTCTTTCGTGAATTTTGCGGTGTCTCAAGAAGACCAGTTTCGTTATCCTACAATATAAAATATACTTCACAATCAACTGCAAAATAAATTAGAAAATAAATTCGAAAGTAAATTTCAAAATGTAAGATGCCTATCACCTGCAGCAAGGGAAGTGCAATTAATAATAACACAAAAATGAAAATAGAGGGGGTGAATTCATAGTTGCATATGATTGTTGTGTAATGAAATGAGAAATAATATTTTTAAAACGGGTCACGCGTTGCCATTTTTAATGCTTTAAAAGTCACGACAATAGTAGGAAAAAGCACCGAGCAGCCACATAGGGCACTATATTTCTCGTTATTCTGGCTTTTTTAGTGTTATATCAAAAGGCAGTAAAGTTTTAATTCTCCGTCGCGATATATAGAATTTCGGGGGATTTAGACGATCCCTCTGATACAACGTGCACAGTATACGTAGTAATACTATACACGTGTGTACAAATAAGTAATTTTTGCAATATGCATGTATAATGAAACAATGTACCGAGCATGGTGACAATAGTAACATTAAAAATAATATAAAAATGCTTGTCTTTTCTTGCTGAAAATCCTAACTAAAAATTGGAGTTAGGGATAGCTTAGGTGCTGGGGTTACTCTACTTTTCGATTGACTGAAAATCCGTGTGAAGAAAGAAGTATGTATTAATAAAAAGAGGAAAAAGAGAAGAATATAAGTACAGGTAACCCTTCTATAACACGGTAGATAGGTTCCCAGAAAATGCCGTGTTGTGTGAAACCTAGAGCCAGTACAAAAAGGGGGTTACGTTCCGAAAATTTACTAAACAGAAATTTTTTTTAATTCTACATAAACAACTTAATTTTTATTAAAAATATAAATGTATGTACAACAAAAAGCAAAAAAAAAAGATAAAAATATTATTTTAATTTAATGTAACTTTAATTTAATAAATTTCTTCGTCGTCACTGCTCATGTACAAGTATAGTGTTGTACAAAGGTTTTTGCAATTTTCTGATCGTGTTAAAGCGAAACCGTGTTATAGGATGCCGTGTTGTAGGAGGGTTCCCGCAATTTATGAATCGTGTTATAGGATACCGTGTTGTAAGAGGGTTACCTGTAATTTCAAAGTCAAAGCTATACCTCTAATAATTTCAATACAATCACAAATGATTTTGGAAATTACTCCGAGGGGAATTCTTTCTTTTACTTGTATTCCGTAAAATCTCGCGAAATAACTAAAAATTTTAAATTTCTATTTAGAATAGAAATTATATATTCTTTGAACCGGGATTTTAATACGCGTTGTACAAGAAAGTCCTAGCTTGGTCCGACAAATATATCAGCGGAATATATATTGCACGAGTGCTGTTGTACACGAATACGTTAGCACTCGTGATCACTATGCTGGCTACGAAAATAATAAAATACAACCAATTACCCATGCCGTTTCGGATCATTCGTCCTACGACATAATGGGTAACCAGAGGAATCGTAAACATACGACTTACCGGTCGTTGACCACTTCTCCGTATCAAAGCAGCTCTGGATTGACTGTCGCCTTCGTCCTGGCATCAGCTTCACTGTGTCCTTCCCTTGCCACGTCGTCAATGTAACGATGTCAACATTGGTTGTAATTCCTTCTTCCGTTCTTGGAACACTTTCAAAACACACTCGCGATGTCGCGAACACGTACGAACTTGCTTCGACCGGCATCGAGCAAAAGAAATCGCGTATAAAATCGTTCGAACGTATACGACTTCGTAGAAGTACGGTAATAATTTAATCGCTATAAAAATATTTAATGTCCACTAACACGAGTGAAATTAAAAAAAAATAAAAGGTGAAATATTTATTGAAGTATTAAAAAAGTAATCAGAAACACAAAATAGAATGAGGTAATTAAATGAATAATTAAAAGGTAAATAATAAGTAAATAAATAAACTTTAAAAATTATTTTAAAAAAATAAATAAATAAATTAAATTATTTAAAAAATTAATAAATAAATAAAAT